GAGCCTTACCGAAGGCAGGAGAAAAGGGCGGAAACTTCAAAAATTCTCCTTGCTAAGCCCCTGAATGGTGCCTCATTTGTCTTGCGGAAAACTGCCATAGGGACAATCTTCCTGTGAGGCACCAAAACCTTCGCTAGAACCATTCGTCTAGCGAGTTTTTCATCCATCAAGGCAATCGTCTAGCGAGGTACCATTGTACAGTATTTGTAATAGACTAGAGCACATACTAGATGGAGGTGAAGAAATTGAACCTTAATCTTAGCAAGACAGAATAGTGATTCATCCTCTGTCAGACAGGTTACATTGTTTCTGATAACTCAGGTTTACAGCTTAGGTGCACTCGTGGATTTGTCCCTCAGCCTGGATGTCCAGGTTTCACTGTTGCTTAGGAGTGTGTTTGCATATTCCTGGAAATGTCTGGCTTGGCTACAGTGACATATGCTTTAAATCAGAGGTCCCCAACCCCCAGTTCATGGCCTGGTGCTGGTCCGTGGTTTGGGCTGCAAAGACAGATCTCCCACCCCCTGCATGCACTTCCACCCCCCAATTCCACAGATTGACTAAGAATGCTGGCCATATAAACTAATAAAATCCTCTGGAGCCCATTGCAATCAATTAGATGTGGGGGTGGATTATCTGGGTAACCTCTTCCATAACCTCTTTATTAGTCTGGAGGTAAAGCTAGTTCCCAAATCAGTATTTCACTAGCAAATCCCAATCGGTCATATAATTGATTAAGGCATCTGCCACCGTGTCAGTTTCCATGTTACGTAATGGAATTGCCTCAGGATATCTTGTGGTGAAGTCCATAATGGTTAGAATGTACTTATGCCCCCTTCTGGTGGCTTTGGGCAAAGGGCCCACCAGATCGATTCCTAGCCTTTGGAATGGGGTAGAAATGATTGGCAAAGCACATAATTTGGCTTTAGTCCTGTCCTGCCCTGTCCCTCATCTCCGACAGACATCACAAGTTCTGCAATAAGAAGTAATCTGTTTATCCATACCTGGCCAAAATAAATTCTGGGCAACCCTTCTTTTGGTTCGTGTGATCCCCATGTGTGCCCCAAACAAACTACTGTGAGCTTGATTTATGATTTTCTCCCTGTATTTACTTGGGACCACTAATTGCTTTTGGGGTTCTGCTTTTCCTCTGTATGGGGTGGCTAAAGTTTCCCTATAGAAAAGGTCTTTATACATGTAAAATCTCTCAGGGCATTCAGGAGACAATACAGTGGGCGTTCTGGCTGCTTCAAAGCAAACCCCCAAGCCAATGTCCTCCTTTTGCTCCTGGGCAAATTAATGTTTATTGGGATTCTTCAGAAGCATGGGATCAGTTTCAGCACCACTATTAATTTAATTATTCAAGGGACTCTCTCTCCAGGTCTCCCTCTGCTAATGTATCAAATTCTGCTGCAGTGGGTGATGTTTGGCCCCCCTTTGAGTGTGTAAGTACAAATGCACTTTTGACATGGTAGGCCCAGTCTACTGCCCGGGAAAGCTTGGTAGACTGGGCCTACCGGGGGAAGCCCTCCCCTGGTAGGCCCGGTCCACCCTGGGAAAGCCTGCGTCGGCGGGGGGGGGGAACCTCCGGAGGCCTTCCCTGCCACCATGGGAGGCCTCGTGGAGGTCCCCTGCCACCGTTGATCGTGCCTCTGAAGCACTATCGGGGAGACCTTCAAGAGGCCTCAGATGGCAGCGGGGAAGGCCTCTGGAGGTCCACCACCACGGCCGCTGGGAGCCGAGCCATGCTGGGCGATCCCGGCCATGCTCAGACTCCTGGACTTCCCCCGCCACCACCACTGAGAGCTGAGCGGTAGCGGTGGCAGGGGAAATCCAGGAGTCCGAGCATGGCCAGGATCGCCCGGAATGGCTTGGCTCCAAGCAGCGGCAGTGGGGGACCTCTGGATGCCTTCCAGAGCTTCTCTGCCGCCATGGGAGGCCTCTCGGAGGTCCCCCCCACTGCTGATCGTGCTTCAGAGGCGTGATAGATGGTGGTGGGACCTCCAATATGCCTCCCATGGTGGCGGAGAAGCCCTGGAAAACATCCGGAGGCAGATCCGCAGCCTACAGACTGGAAGGGGGAGGCGGGGAAAGCGCCAAATTTGAATTTGGTGCTTTCCCCACCTCCCTCTTCTGGTCTGTGGGTCGATTCTCCGGCCGCAAGTTGATTGGAAATCTTGCGGCTGGAGAAATCCGGATGTCGAAAAGTCCGTAAGTGGAGCCGACTGTAAGTTGAGACTCCACTGTAGTTCTGCCTGGAATTAAGTTGTCTTTAGTTATCAGATCTGAATGGGCTGTAGAAATTTGAGATCCGGTGTCCCTTAGAGCAATGTATTTCTTTCCTCCCACTAATATCTCTTCTCCAGCATTTTTGAGAAGGGTATTGTTATTTTTATATAATAACAATGTACTATAGGGGCTTCAGGAATGTCCTCCTCAAGATCAGTAGAAGCTGTGGTTGCCATGGAAACAGGACTATGGTTACTGCTTCCCTCAGAGGATTTAACTTGTTTTAAATAGTACCCTTTTTAGTTTGATTATCATTCTTCCCAGTATTAAGTTTATTTCTTGTACACTGAAACTGTAAATGTCCAGACTGACCGCAGTTGTAACATTTATAATTCTTTCTCTCATTCTGAGGAGTTCTGATAAACTTTCCCTCAGGGTTCATTTCGTTCTGAGGACTAGGCCATGCTAATTTAGATGAGGCACCACCCTGGCCTTCATTCCCTGATGTTTTACTGTGGTACTGTTTGTTAAAAGGTTTTGTCGAAGGATTTCTTATGATTGTCCCAGGTTAGCTTGTTAACTTTAACCTCAGAGAATCTGAGGTCTTTGTACTCCCTAATATGATCTGCCTGTTCACCAGCTTCTTTTAGAGTTTTAGGATTTTTGTCCCTAACTAGATAGCACAATTCCCCAGGTAAAACATAGTAAAATTGTTCCAATCCTATCACAATTTTCATCTCTTCTAGAGAAGTAACTTTTTCACGTGTCATCCATTTGTCCAGATACTGGTGTAACAGACACCAACTGAGCATATGATTCTTCAGGCCTTTTAGTAAGGGCACGAAATTTTCGCCTGAGAAGTTAGGCATTTATGCAATATCTGGAAAATACCATTTTTCTATAGGCTTCAAAATTTCTAGCCTGTTCTAGGGGAATGTGAGAATAAATCTCAAGCAATTCTCCACTGATTAGTGACCTCAGAGCAATCATCCCTTCACTATCTCTGATATCAGAGTCCCAACACGCACACTCAAAAGTGATAAGATCTAGGACAGTCCCCTTTCTTATTACGGAGAAATTTCTTAAGATCAATTTTAGCCAGAATTCCTCCTTCATGGGAGCTGTTATTATTGTTGTTATTTTTAGAGGTTATTTCTAATTGTCTCATTCGTATTTGAAAATCCATCTCTTTTTGTCTTAATTCCATTTCTCTTTGTCTATTTTCTTGTTCAAATGCCATTTGTCTGGCCTCTTGCTCAGCTTTTTCTCTAATTTCCAATTCTTTAAGCTTGAATTCCCACTGTAGCCTTCATTTTTCAAACTCTTGAGAGCTTAGGACACCTGGTCTTTCTGAGGCATTTTCCTCAGTCTCTAACTGTGCTCCTGGAGTTAAAGGGTCTCCATTTCCCTCCATTTCCTGAGGTAATAAACTTTGTGCCTCTTCAGACTCAGTTTCCACCATGACTAGTCTTTTAGTTCCTTTGGGAGGCATTTTTATCTGAGTTACTTTTTCTGGAGTGTTTTTATACTGATTTTATAATGGACCTGTCTTTCTTTTTTTTCTTCCAGTCACTGAAATGATTTCTATTTCAAGCAAACACTTTTTTTTTCTATTCCCTCAGATCTGCTCTGACCCCTGGTTTATGTTTTTTCCACAAGTGCTCCCTAAACTCTCATAGCCTTGAATTTTAAGCTAGCCCACTGGGTCTTCAAATCTTGAGGTAAATACACAGGAATTTTATCTAAGAGTTGTTCCCTATCTTAGACACCCCCAGATCTGGGTTCAGAAGCCTCCACCACTAAGCTTTTCCCAAAAGCTCTAGTGGGTTACCAAACTTCTTTTACCTCAGACCTCTGTCTAAAAGGTACCCTTAACTCAAGAAAATTTCTCTTTAAACTCAGGCTTGACTAGATTTCTTCATATCCCACCGCTAGACACCAATTGTGGCATTCGCCCCTGGTGCCCCTTGCCTGACTTCCCAAACACAGAGCACACAAACGCAAACTCCTCCTCCTTTTTTTACCCCGTTGCCACCAGCTGATCACTAAATCAACGTTACTTATGGAAGGATGAAGATGCAGGTCCAAGCTTCACTGTCTTTTAAATAAAACACTATCTCTCCACTCTGATCTCACTTCTCTCCCTGACTGACTGTTCACTCTCGGACTCCGCCTCTTTATTACATATCTCTCAGCTCCGCCTCTTAATATTAGCCTGCAACATGAATATGCATAACTACTTGTCATAATAAGGGTGAACGCTACAATAGGTTTGGGTTCCCCACCGCCCCCAAGGCCAGCATGTACCTTTTAAACAACATTTTAACATGACAATGAAATGTTAACAGGGCAGTGGAAGCAAATGGGGGGAAAGCAATGAGGGCTGAAAGCCTCTTCGTAAAACGGGCGGAAGTATCTCTTGTTTTCCCTAGCAAGGGAACGGTGAGGAGAACTCGGCCTGTGGTATTTCAACCTGTTCTGTAGCTTTGGGAGGCGGCCCCGCGGATGTGGAGGAGTAAAGGCACGAAAAAAAAAAGTAGGGGGAGGAATGGAGACGGAAACCCGCTTCCCCTCATTCCGCACCGAAGCCTCCGAGAGAGGTCTAGCCTGGGATTCCTCTCCGTCGC